GAAGGGTCGCAGGGAGCAGATGAGCCAGTCAGGGTGCAGGGTAGCAACAATGAAACATACAACTTTCCTCTAGTTCCTAAATGCTTCCTACCCCCCACCCTCACTATCATGATCCCAATTCTACCTTACAATCTGGCTAGAGGATGTACACTGGTACAGGTAGGAACTGGAAACAGAGAGAATCCAGGACCCTTCAGGACCAGTGGTGAGAGTGGCGATACCAGGAGGGTGAAGGGAGGGTGGGGTTGAAAGGGGGAACTGATTACAAGGATCTACATATAACTTCCTCCCTGGGGGATGGACAACAGAAAAGTGGGTGAAGGGAGACGTCGGACAGGGCAAGAAATGACAAAATAATCATTTATAAATTATCAAGGGTTCATGAGGGAGGGGGGAGAGGGAGAGAGGGGGAAAATGAGGAGCTGATGCCTGGGGCTTAGGTGGAGAGAATGATGAGGGCAATGAATGTACAAATGTGCTTTACACAATTGATGTATGTACGGTTTGTGATAAGAGTTGTATGAGCCCCTAATAAAATCATTTTTAAAAATCAAACAAACAAAAAAAAAAACAACAAAAATGTGCCCCTTTGAAAGTGAACAATTTAATGGTCTTTAGAACGTCGAAAAGTCCTACGGAGGTCTAGTTCATACATGGTTTTATTCCATCTACGGCACAGAGCATGGCTACAGACAAGAGACCAATAGTAACCGGTTTGTCTGAGTCCTGGTACGGTGCACTCAAAAACAGCGCTCAGTTAAAACAGTGGCAGCTTTGGACCAGGTACACTCAAAGTAGAGAGCTCAGTTCAGAAGGTTATAGAAACTGTCTTTGGAGATTCCAAAAAGATAATCTTGGTAGCTTTTGTTCCAGGATAAAGGACAATCACAAGGCCTTATTAGGGGTTTTGGGTTTTTTTCCCCATTTTATAGGCTGTAGGGCACTCAGCTGTTAAATATATATATTTAGCATTTTATTGTACTTTAGATAAGTGTCCTATTGCCTAACAGAGGGCTTCTGATTTTGAATTTTCCATGAGTGATCCAGAGATAACAGGAAGGTGTGGTTGAGATGCTGTAACAATTCCACAGCCCAGGCAAGATCAGTGAGGGCAGTGGCCTGGTATCTGACTTGGCCCAAACTAGGAGGGGGGGGGACTGGGCCTCAGCCTGGATGCACTTTCCGCCACAAGGCCCTTCCCTGGAAGATGGCGGTGACATTCTGGATGGCTCCCAGGGCTGGGGGAAACTCCAAGGTCAGTCTGTGTTCCACTCAGGGGCCCTCAGAAACAGGGGTCTCCCTAATTGAGGAAGAGGCAGCTCTTAGCTCTCCAGAGCACCCACCACGGAGGGTCCCGTGGCTGCTCACAGTTGGTGCTCCAGAAACGAGCGTGTGCAGCAGACTGCCCCATGCACCCTCCCTGCTCAGAGTGACTCCTCCGATCAAATGTCATCAGTGGTTGAGTCCCAGTTGCTTGGGGGCCCTCAGGTACAGGGGCCTGCGCACACAGTGTCCACTCCTGACTGCAGGTTGGTCTCAGCTCCCCCCCTTGGCCACACTCATCTCTGAACTCCTGCCCACCCCTGGGGGAAAGGGGAACAGACACCGCTATTGGGCGTGACACCAAAAGAATCCAGCAGTGGTGGTTGGCAGAGGCAGGTGGGCTGGTGTACTACATACAGGGCGGGTGATGTCATTGGAGTGGGTGCCTGTCACACACACCTTCCACGTGGAGTGAGAGGTAGCACGTCTCCACCTTGACCAATGGGAGAGGCTGCTCCACTCATGATGGTGGGAGGGGAGGAGTGTGCGTGTGACACAAATCCTTGTGACACCCCTGAGGACAGGTCTTGGCACATCACAGGCACTGGCATGCACGTGCCGAGAGGCCAAGCCCACTGCCACATCCTGGGGCCCGCAAGCCCCACTCAGTGCTGACTGGTCCGCCAGGCACAATAGTACCCGGGGAGAGCCAACCCTGCTGGGAAAGCAGGGCCGAAAAGTACTGGTGCTTGACTATCACAGACCTGACTTGCGTACCCAGCATCAAGGTTCTTCCATAGCGTTTATTCTCAAGCCCCAACCAGACACATTCCACACCCTAAAACCCCCGAGGCCCAGGCTGAGAGCTGGGAAATTAAGGCACAAGGAAGCATCCCACTGCAGGGCAAGGGCACCTACAATGTAACTTCTCCCTGTGTGGGCATAAGGCCCACCAATCTCCCAGAAAGCGCTCCCTGGGTAGGGCTGAGCGCTGGCAAGGGAAAGCTTTGGGGAGGATCGATGAGCTGGCTATCCAGGAGGTCCCCTGAGGGGAAGGACAAGAGCTGTTGTGTGGCCGTGGTCTGAAGTCCTGACTTCAGGGACACCACCTCCCCATAAGTCTGAGAGACCAGGAAAGAGGCTCCCCTTGCCCAGCACCTTCGGCGCCTGGTCCTCAAGGCAGGGCCGTCTCCTGAGATATTCGGAGGATGCTGTGTCCTCTGTTGACCCCCATTCAGACTTCGAGGCAGGTGGGAAGAGCCAACCCCCAGTGAGGGACAGGCTAACAGATGCCAAACCCTGGGCTGGGGCTGGGGCCTGCCGTCCAGTTTGTCGGTCAGCTACTGAGCTGGGCTCCCCAAAAGAGAAACTAGCAGGACTCTAGTGCCAGGGAGGCACCCAAGGTGCGCTGCCAGCTGGGCGAGGGCGCACGGTGCCTACAGGGGGCTGTGGGGCTGACTGAAGAGAAGTTTGTTCCGGATGCCAGAGACCGAGCCCCTTGGCCACGGTGAACCGTGATGCAGGGGTGGCCCATTCCCCTTTGAGAGCTGGGTCCTGGATCCCATGGCTGCCTGTCGCCTCAAGGTCACTTCCCACAGCAGAGAAGGGTTGCTCCTCTCTCCACAGGGGCAAGGTGGCCTCAGAGCTTGCTTCTGGGGGGCTCTACCAGGGGCCGCTGCAGTCGCCATACCACCTGAACTGGCTGGGCAGCGTGGTCCAGCTTGCGAAGACCACCCAGGTCACCCGTTCTGCAGTACCGCTGCAGGGCTGGCCGGAGCACCGTGATGGGAATGCTGAAGTTCAGGTGGGGGTAGGTGGCCCCCGTGTTATTGTCCCGCGTGTTACTGGCCACGATGCCTGTCGAGGTCAGAGAGGAAGAGAATGTGAGCAGACGATGGGGGCAGGAGGGTGACAGTCTCCCCTGTGGGGCTGCCAGGGCCCTCTCAGGTCAGGGACATCCCACCCCTCCACACTCCCTTCTCCCAAACACTCTGCACCACTCATGCCATCC